AGTTCTGAACTCTCAAAGAAATGAAGATAAGTAGTATTAGATTTTAGTAAATATATCAACTTTTCAGTGACATATTAAATTTTTTTTAATCAACTTAGCTAATCATTTATTAATATAGAATCATATTTAACAGAAGAAGACAAAGAGTAGAGAAAGTTTGATAGTAATTAAATTACATAACTGTTATAAAGAATCAATCATCTTTAAATACTTCTATAATTTATTTATCACTGAAAAGTTCTTTCTGATTTTTTACTGAGTGTGAGAAATCATCGACTTTGATTGATTCTCTAAGTGAGAATAATGATATATGAAATGTAAGTTGAATATTCATTAGTTAAAGATATTAAATTAAAAACTTCAGATTGAAAAACTAGAAACTAATTCTGAAAAATAGAGATATATATTAATTTTATAACTCAGGTCAAAATATTTAATAATACTGATACAAATGAAAATTTCACTGCAGCTATGTTATAATGATAAAATATTCTAACATTCTGAGATCTGATAAGTGATATTTCTGAATATCAGTAAATTATCAGAGATGACTTTACTAAGACAATTCAGAATACTCTGACAGTAAAAAAGAGATATCTGATGAAAGATAGATAAAAGAAGATGTGAAAAAAGATTAAATTTTCAGAGACACTTTCAGTAAAAGACAGATCAGTGATGTAGAGATTTTCAACACAATCTATTTATATTTTAATATATTTAGTTTTCTATGAGTTTTATATATAAATTAGTTAATATATACTTTAATATACATAATTAGAATATATCTGTCTTAATATTCACTGAAGAAAGTTGTTATATTCTCTATCTTATAATTTATATAGTTATAACTGTGAAGAATTCACTGATTTCACTGCATCAGAAAATCTTGAATTCTGTAGATATATTTCTAACAGTGTATTGAACACTTGTTTCTAGTTAATAGAAATGATTTTATATTTAAAATAGCTGTAATTCAATCAGTGATAGCCTGTATAAAAAGTATTAAGATATAGATGAAATCTGTCAGATATGCTAATTACACTCAGAGATGAAATATAAAAGTATTTACATTCATTGTATAATAATCTGCAAAGATGAATTAATAATATATATAAAAACTTACATTTTTCTTTTTCTTCTTTTCTTCTTTCTTCTTCTTACAATAATAATACACTGTAAAGATTATTTTCAGCTCACTCAGCTTATTCTGTTCTTCTTTATTCTTCAGTCTAATTAGTATTCTGTTAGTTGTAATAGAAAGCTTTTAATCAGAAAAGTTTTAATCAAGATATCTTATCTGTATAGTATATTAAGAATATTAACAATTCATTATATCAGTATTAATCACAGTAATAACAATAACAGTAGCAGTATTAATTACAGTAACAATAATAACAGCAGCAGTATTAAAATAATAAGTAATATTCTTAAGTGTATCTGTGCTGCTGTTATAAAGGCTTAAGAGAAGAAAGTAAGCAATTATCTAAATATTCTGATAAAACAGCTCAGTAAATAAATAATGTATAAGCACTGTATTAAGTATATTTTTTCTCATTATTTAAATACTGCTTGTAATAAGATGAAGAAAAGCTTAAAGTCTTATATAAATTATAATTATGAGAAAAAGAGATATACAATTATCTCTGAAGAATTAAAAGAATAAGTTAATAATCTGATTCAAATTCATGACTTTTATCTTTCTATATTAGATAATTTTAAGAAAATAATAAAAAGAGCTATATTAAAATTAATGAAGAATTTTTTAAAATAGATTAAGAAAGTTAAAACTCACTAATAGAAAGTAAAAGCTTAATATATAAAGAGTATCACTATTACTCTGAAAGTTCTGAATATTATTATCAGTATTACTGAAAAAGCTAAAATCAAGATTAAGAAAATCAAGTTGAATATTGAAAGAATAAAATTAGAAATTGAAAAGAAAAAAGTTACTGTAGAAAAGAAGAAAATCATAATTAAAAAGATAAAACTTAATATTGAAATTATTAAGCTTGAAGTGTATTACAAGCATTTAAGAATGATAATCAGTTATATTAAAGAATAAAAATTGATAATAAAGAATCTTATAAATTTAATAAATAATATCAATATCAAAGCTAGCTGTATTATTATTGAAATGTATAAAATAATAAAGTATATTCAGAGACTTACAGATTATCTTGATAAGAATTCAGTTACAGTCAGTAATAATAGTAGCAGTGATGAGAAATTTAATAACAGTAATAATTCTCTTTCTATCTCTCTTACTGATATTTCTACTACTGCTGTTAATTCTCTTCTCTCTTTCTTCTTCAATCTTCTAACTCTGATTGATTCTCTGACTATAAGCAGTACTAAAACTCTTAATATTCTTAGTAAAAAAGTAAGTTAGAATCAGTGAAATGATTCTCAGATTTATATAGAAGTGAATAATAATATAGATAAGTAAATATATAGCTTCTAATTCTTCTAAAATTCTCTCTCTTAAACAGTGAATAATCATTGACACTGATTCTTTATAAACTTTAATATCAATTCACAAGTTCTCTGAAATAAATGTTGATGTGAATATAACAGGAAATAATGATAATAATATAGAGATAGTTCAGAGAATCTAAGAGAAATTACAGAGAGATATAACAGTTTTTCAATAGAGAATAATTTCAGTGAATGAGATGTTTTTTAGAATTAGTAATTATATAGATAGGAATCAGTGATATTATCAATACAATAATGATTTTGTTCTGTTCATAACTCATTTACAGTGATTTCACAGCTAATCCATCATTATATTATATTTTACAGTTCAGCGATGGTGTCAGTGACTGGCACAGCGGAACAACCATAACCCGGTCGTATAATAAGCCTACGTTTTTCCGGTATGGTAGCTATGCCTCTACACCCAAGAGAAGATGGAGTGACGGAAGCCAAGTGGGAGGAGGGCTGGTTTTATATGCCTTCAGCCCCCCCCCCCCCCCTTGATCTACGCTAGTGGTACCCCCTTGAGACAGATTTGGAGCGATCGTGAGAGACCGTTATGGGATTTTAATGAGATAGGAACTGGTTCAGAGATTAGTTGAGGATGTATAGAGCCACCTCGGGCCAGACCGGGCCAGCCGGGAGAGATAGAAACAGTGCCTACAATACAGAACGTCCTCTACGCTTCCCGTTGATGTGCGGCTAGAAATTCGATTTACAAAGAACACAATTCATGAGATTCAGCGTTATTCCCTTCTCGTAATGCCCGCTCTTCTTCGAGTTCAGCCAGTAGCTGTTGTACTCGGCTGTCCATTCTGTGACGTCGTTCCTACCAGGCCAGTGCAGGCAAGATGTTGAGTTACAAAACTTCGCTATGGCTTATTCTGGGTTAGAATGTAATAAGGATTTTTAGAAGTCCTCGGTGCAAGGGTAGCAGCACGCTGAAGTATTGTTCTTCTTCGTTGGGATAAGTCATTTGGCAAGAAATGGGAGCCCATCCCCCGATTCCAGCGGTGTATCGTTTCCCGGGTCGACGTAAGGCGCAAACAAGGCAACGAGCCAGCAGTCTCAAACACTGGTATAAGCCCAAATCCTTTAATCTTATCCTGCCACTAAGAGAAATGTATGACAGGGCTTCGGATTTCTGTTGGCAAACCGACTGAGAAAGTGATAAAACCAAAACAGTGCTCCGTCTCCAAAATTCTCCCGGCCAGAATGTCAAGGCCGGACGCTTGTGCCTCTCGTTGATATAGAAGTGATGCACGACTTACGCGCCCTCGACTGGTATAACCTGGTCATCATTTCAAGCTCAAAGTACGCGTAGCCATTGTGTAACCGCTAGCTTTATAAGTCAGGAGGTAGTCCAGAGTTCGCGCCCCAAGAACGCACCCGTACAAGCCACGAGTTGCAATTGATTCTAGCAGTGCATGCATGTAACAGGGCGCATGTGCAAGGCAAAAGGCCACGCAGCTACGGGAGCAATTTCCTCCCGTGAGTAACAAGTGTGGGTGGCCGAGGCAAGGGCTAGTGATGATTGTCATAACAAGCGAGAGACAAAAATTTGGCTTGATACTTGGTGCAGGGGACAGGGTATGGAAGCCTATCCCCCGATTCCAGCAGTGCATCGTTTCCCGGGTCAACATAAGGCACCGGTACCAAAACTGCGCATGCTTGCTCCAAGGGCCATCTTCCATCGAAATATGCAGCAAGGCGGTTATTGTGACCCGTACAAGCCACGCGAGCCCATCCCTTGATTCTAGCCGTGTATAGTTTCCCGGATCAGCAATAAGGTGCCAAGAATATATTCGATATATCACACTTATAAGCATATTTAGATTTGACTGTCAAAGTTCAGGTTCAAGCTGTTTTGTGGTCTGGTAGAAGTGTAAAATCGGGATAAATAGCTTCCTACAACTGGGCAGAATACCTCACTCAGCATCCGGAATTTCTAATTTTCCAGGTGCACAATTTCTTCATTTGGCGCAAAGCAAGGATGGTTCTATTTTTGAGTAACCAATCATTTTCCTTTGATTTAACAAAAAAACAGGAACAAACGACGCATGTACTGTACAAAAGAAAATCAAACAAGGGCGACGAGTAAACAACATGAAGTAAGGAATTCGGAACTACAAGCGCCCAGGCTTGTATATCAACCAGCATCCTGCAACTCAACCAGTGACAGATGTTTTCAGAATCACCACACAGCCGAGCCCAGCGTTCACGCATACTCAGTATTGAAGTTTTAGTCAGCTATTGGTGACAGACAGTTTTTAGATGTACCTTCATATTGTCTCTTCGTGAATATGACTTATTGCACACCGGGCATTCATATCCTTTTCCAGTGTGTTTCTTTCCGTGGCGTGAGGCATCACCGGGGGTGGTGAATGTTGACTTGCATGAAGCGTGTGGACATGGATATTTCCTTTTGCTCGTGGACACAACAGTTCTCTGAAGTTGATGGAGCCCGCGTTCATGGTAGCAGCAGGCTGCATCCACAGTTGTCATTTGCTGCTGCGCGCATTAAATCAGCCAGAAGTATGACCCATGAGCTGGAGAAATCTTACCCTGTGTGGAAAATTGACCTGGCTCTGGGTTATTGATGGAGGCTGAGATATCTTCCTTAACTCTGTTGATGCAGCGATCGCTTTCCTCTCTCCCTCATCTGGAGGATTCAAAAGCGATCGGACATCCATTCCCAACAATTTGCCACTGTCCTCCTTAAACATGTGCAGTTCGGTTTTGTGGAATCCATTTGCTGAAACTCCCGCTTCGAGCTCCGCACAGGAAGGGAGCCGAACAGAAGGAGAAAGTGCGAAGCAAGTCTCTTTTCCAGTCAGGTACATCAAATCATCCCGAAGACTGAGCAGTTCATATGGCCCTTTAGATTGTTTAGCCATGTTGAATGCCCATTCGATCATCTCCATCCTCCCTAGAAAATCCCCAAGAAGACAGAGGAGAGAGTCGAGCGCCCAGCTCTTGGGGTGTTGGATGTTCTCCGTTTGTTGTTCGCGGGTGATGTTTCCCATGTTATCTCTGAGAATATGCAGAAAATTCTTCAGCTGCTTTAGGGCCTTCTCTACTTCTGCCTCCTTAGTTGTTTGGAGAAGGCATTGGAGCCCAGACTCGAATGCCTCTGCAAATTTCAACCATTCGGTCTTCACAATTTTTAGATACTCAATCATCACGGCATCGCAACGGTCACAGTGGAGAAAGCCTTGCTCATTGCCAAGCCCTTTCAAAGAAATGTCTCGGACTCCGGAGACATTCGGCTTCTTGTTGGAGGCGATAAATAGATACTCTTTCCAACGAAACACATGGGCTCCGTAGGCATCCTGAGGGGATAGCCCAGTGTGAGGAATCACGGAGGGTTCCGCATCGTGAATGAGGTAGACACGATCTGTAGATGCCATTGCGGTACCTGATAGATTTGTGAGCAAACTCTGATATCTGCATTGTGGTGTGTAAGGGATTCTTTACCTATCTTCTATAGTTTAATGCCAATGATGTTATATGTGCGTGCCTCGGAGAACGGAGTAAAGGTCTGGTTGAATGATCCAGGGCAGACATACTGGGCAATCAAGCATTCTTATACCATACCAATCCGCCCACTCTTACTACAGGGCTAGGAAAACGGAGAAGGAAAAAAAAAAAAAAAAAAAAAAAAAACACGAAGTGTACTGAAACAATCTATTGGCTGCCCCCTACCATAATTTTATATGCCTTCGGCCCGCCCCTGGTCTACGCCAATGGCCTACAGTGTACCAGCTATGGAACCAGTGCATGCAACCAGCGTGCAAATGGGATGCATCTCATTTTTAGCAGCCCACCCGTAGATTCTTCGTGTTCTTCCGTCAGCAATGAGGCGTTATTGCCAAAACATGGATCCTGGCGTGAAAAATCATCATTAAGAGTGTGTATGCTAATAGGCGAATGAGTGAAGAATTAGGAGATTGGATGGTACTACGGCAACCCTAAGACTGAACATAGAATTAACCAACAACATTATCCTCCTGCAGTAGCAGACCAGCCGAGAAAGTCATAATTAACCAACGCCAAACATCACGGCCGCATCAGCAATACCCGAAGCCAAGGAGTTGGACCCATTCCAAATCTCATCAGGCACTTTGAAAGTGTGATAATTACTAAGGAGCAATGTCACAGTTAGGCCATCCAGGCTGAAACCCGAAACAGTGCTCAGTTGCCAGAGATCTCCCGGCAAGTGTGGACGCTTGTAGAACACCGGTCGTTGTAATAGAAGTGATACACGACTTATGCGATCTCGATGGGTATATAACAGATGTGTTGACAGCAGCCCTCTCAATTGTGTGGAGAGCAAGTGGATGGTATCCTCCAATCTCTTCACAGATAATGGTTCCCCTGCCTGTTGTCGAAGAATTTTTATCAGACAGAGCGCGTATGGTAATGCCAGAGGTCCATCAACTCTATTCTCGGAGAATGCGCGAAGGATATTTCTTAGACAAAAAGTATGAGTCTTCAGATACTCCAGCCGCTCTTGAAGTACAGGCTCTGAGATGAAAACTATGAAAGCCAAGGGTACATCTTCGTCTTCATCGCCACATACCTATTTAGAATTAGCATTGGCGGTGTCAATTTCCATTTTTATTCCATACATCACCACGGATATCCGGATAGTAGCGATCAGCTTTGTCAATCAAGTACGGGCCATCGCTGGGACTGACACTAGTGGTGGGATTGTCCTTGCATACGTTAGCTGAGCTCTCCTTAAGTAGGTGAAGAATAGCAGACTCACCATGGCAAGAGATTCCGTCGAAGCGTGGATCCCACTTTGTAAATCCACGGAACGTAGACAGGAGGAAGTTGGGTCCTTATATGGCAATGGGTGTGAGCTGGAGACACCGTGGTTTTTGGCCGTTTCCCTTCTAAAACCTTTATGCTGTCTCTTTACAAAACTGGACGCCCCCTGGCTGGGGTCAACGAATTTGTAGAGTATTTCATTCTGGGCACCATCGCAGTGCAAACCCCTTTTTATGCAGTTGCGACAGGCAGGTGCTGCTTCATCACATTTGACATGCCTCGCTTTGCAGGTCGAACAACCAGTGAAATTTCTATCATAGTATCTTCGTTGGCGGGTTGAACATGTGGTTGACTGTCTCGCGCCCAGGGAATTGGGCTCCTGAAATTTTTTAGCACAGAGAGAATGAACAGGTGGTGTGGAACTCACCATCTCTGCAAGCTAAAATCTGCGGGGCTGGCTTGTGGAAACTATTCTAAGGGGATTTCAATGGAGGCAAGAACCGCTTCTTATCACCTTTGGAATGTTAAGAGCAGATATTCTTCGCTTCGCCCAACCGGAGCTGATATTTGCATGGCCCCTCGATTATCCAGTAAGGAGTGAAGCTGTCTTCTCCCTCCCAGCCGCTCTCGGTGAACAAGACACACAAAGGATAGCCATAATTAGCTGTGTGTTTTGTTGTCGGCAGGCAGCGGACCTAACCTATTGCAATATTACATTCTGCATCTTGAAATATACTGGCTTGAAAGCTTATTGAGTCAAATTCTCAAAGAGCTTTTTTTTATTAAGGCGTTTTGTGTACACTGAGAGATGGTGAACTGTACAAGGGAACTGAGAAACTATATAGGCAGATGGTCCAAAGAACGAGTTTCTTTTCCCGCGAGTGCGGCGTAGTATGCCTCAAAGGGGACAAAAGAGCCAGGGCGGCACCGCCGGCCTGAATCGATCCTCTGACTTCGTGGGCACAGTATTGACTCCTCCCCCAACTAAACGTACCCAGTCAAGTTCTCCGTCCAAATCTGCAGGTGGCACAACCCCAAATCGAGTTCACCACCGCGTCGTTTTAGTCTGGACTCAGTCATGTAGCTTGAAAGAAAGATGAAGAATGGTATGTCATCGCCCGAGCAGTTTTCCAGCTTCGGCCGCTTGTTTGAAAAAAGACAAGGAGGTCCCAAGGCCTATGCGTTTGCAGAGATGGTGTGGTGGAGATGGTGATTATGACGATGGCGGTGTTTAATTAAGGTTGGCCGCCAAGCCCTCTTCTTGTCCCAGTGGTGAACCCAAGATCCTGGTCTGTTGATTGTCATGTGAATCAGGAATGTGCAATCAATTTTGCTGTTTATGTATAGAGGACTTGACAAACAATTTTACTGCACAGGTTCAACATTTGAAAAAATTGTATCTGATTGGTCCACCAACCGTGTCGGATTGAGTGTCACGGATGAATATGTTGAAGACATATGAATCTTATCTGTATCAAGATCTGCTTGTTCTATTATCCATGCACTATCTAATATATCTATTTCATACAAAAGATAGAGCTATTTATAGTAAAATATATGTGCGAGCCAAGAGAGCTAGCATAAGCAAGTATTAGATGAGCATTGTAGTAAGCTGATGATGATGAGAAATATTGTACTAATATGATGTTGGTGGCATTCAGTAGTGTATAACCTCTTTTTCCTGACACACCCTCTTCAGTGAATGTAACATGTAAATGAAAGTGTAAATGAAAGTGTAAATGAAGCTGCAACTAAAAGAGTGTAGATGAATCTGTAGAGATTATATCAAGATAGATTATTTATATCATCATTCTGCTTGTGACTTGATGATATCTGTTATATCAACTAGGCCTAGCATCTTGATGAATTCTGTATGTTTCTGACATGGCAGAGCCTTAGTGAGGCCATTCACTGGCATCTGAGCCGTAGACACTCAATCAACTGTAATATCACTGAATTGAACACATTCTCAGATTGATATCTTTCATCTGAATCCTCTCATCAGAATAGAATGATGATATCATTCACATAGAAGAAGACAATTAATCAATCATTTGAGAAGAGACAGCAATTCTCTGACATAGAGGTGAAGCCTAGCATTCTCAGATTCTTCGCAATGTGAGTGTTTTTTAACATCTGCTCAGTGATTCAGTGAATCTGACAGTTGAGATCTATGAATTCTTGAAGGAATTGATGCTGTTAAGATAGCTGTATTATTGATAACAGTCAACACTGTATTAGGAAATAAATTTTGAGACTTGTAGAAGTCTGAGTGTGATTGAGAGAATACCTCATTAATCATTCATAATAGATTATTTTTGACATTTGAAACTGTTATAAGATGGACAGCTCTGTGATTTCAGGTTCTGCAGTCTTCAATGATATTATCTTCATCAAAGTTAGCACTGATATTATAAGCTCTAGATGCAATGTTTCATGTACAATCATCTATTACAGCTGATTGAGTATTAATATTAATATTGAAATCTGTATCAATATTTGAACCTGTATCAACATTAGAATCTGTATCAATATTAGAGCTCACTGACTCTGATATAGATTCAGATGTTGAATTCAGTGTATAAGATTTAATGTGAAAATGTCTAGATATTTGATTATTCATATTAGATAGATAACAGAGTTTGCAAAGCTCAGTGATAAGCTCCTCTACAGCATCTTCTTGATAAGTGATTTGAATGTCAGTTACATTATTTACAAGATTTTGAATGATAATTTTCAATGAATGTTCTAATCTCTTATATCATGTTGATTGAGTAGCTATAGAGATCTTAGGTTTTTGAGAAGATTTTGTGTGTATTGACAGGTTGAAAGAATGATTTATTAAAGTGTGTTTTGACAGATTAGAAGAAGAATTTGTAGAAGTTGAAGAATTTGAAGATATTATTTTTTCAGATATAGTGATATTAGATGTGATAGCTGCATCAGCTTCAGTAGTGATTTTTTCTGATATAGTTGAGAAAACAGCTGTTTCACTATTATATTCTGTAACTAGCAACTTCTCAAATACTTCAATATGTACAAAGATTATATTATCTGTGCATTTTCACAATCTGAAGTCTTTTTCATCATAATAGATGCCTTCTATATGAAAACACAGTTTTCATGCAATGATATTTATATGGAAATTCAGAATATAAGCTGTATTGATGAGTTTCACATTGAACTGCTTTCCTGCTTCATTTATCATGATAGTTCTAACAGTTTCATAATCTTCAACTTTAGTGCTGAAATTATCTGTATAGACTTCCGCATTCTCATTCACAGATGTAAAGAATAGAAAACATGTTTAATTATTGCATATATGCTGTTTCACACCAGTATCAAAGATTCAGGAGTTTCAGAGATAGAAGTGAGAATGTGAAGAGTTCATTGATATTTTTCAGATTTGCTGATTGATAGATTAATGATTAATAAGTTGATAATTGATAGATTGATGATTGATAGATTAATGATTGATAGATTGATGATCAATAGATTGAGAAACTGATTACTTCAGAATCATTCCCTCTAGAACTGCTTCATTGACATCTATTATATCTGTATTTATGAATAAATCTCTAGATATTGTATAATCAATATGTCTCTTCAATTCTTGATTCTTAAGAGCTTGATTGATCTGAGTTCTCTTCTTCTCATTTTCCTTTCATTCAGATGACTTTCTTGATGAATTGAGATAGTAGCACTGAGTGTATCAGTGACAGACTCTGCAGATACAGTTTCTGAATGTCACTGATCTTTCATTAAAAGTAGTGAAGTTCATAGATTTATCTTCTTTAAGAATACTCATTTCTCTATACTGTTTCTTGAAGTTCTTAACTAACTCTATCAAAGATATGACATCTTTATCACATCAGACATTCTTTGTTCATACTTATATATATTCTGCATCAATAGCTAGATTCATATTTAAGAAGTCTTTCTTCAAGTTGAACTGTTCAGCTATATTCATCTCTTTGATATCATCTTCAATGAGTGATCAGTTATTTAATCACTTTTCTATATCTCTGTTTTTCAGTGCTTTGCAGAGATCATGGTATCAGATTCTCACATTATCTTGATAATTCACAGTCATGAGTGAGAGTCAATCTCTTAATAAACAGATAATCTTCTTCATATCATCATTCTCACTGTGTATATGTCATAGCTCTGTAGCATTCACTGTTCTTTATATAACATCTTGTATCTTTGTTATACCTTCATTCAATTTCTCATATTTCATATATTTGATTTTCCACACAGTGACCTTGATATCATATGCTATCTTGGCCTCTGCAGTGGCTTCTTCTAAACACTCAGGTTTCAGAGGTTCTTCTAGTTCAGAGAAGATATCAGGTTTATCAAGATTAATAAAGTCTGATACCTTCTTGTCCTTTGCATATCCTAGTATATGCTTGTATCAAAGTTTCCAATCTCCAGAAACACTAAGGTGAACTGTTGCACTTGACATTGTCTTGTCTGTCATATCAGTTATATTGAATGGATTGAGGAATCGGTTCAAGTATTTGTGAATATGATCAGAAATCAGAGTGTATAACAGTTGAGTATATCAGAACATATATAAGTGAGAATCTATCATCTCAGTTCAAATGATAGTTATCAGTTCAAATGAGGATTGAGATCAGTGATCAATTGTCTCAGTTCAAATGATAGTTATCAGTTCGAATGAGGATTGAAATTGATGTATAATCGTCTCAGTTTGAATGATAGTTATCAGTTCGAATAAGGATTGAGATTGAGTATAGTATAACAGTCGAGTTGATCGGACTGTATATGAATGAGAATCAATTGTCTCAGTTCGAATGATTGTTGTCAAATTTGAATGAGGATTGAGATTAGTGTATCGCGCTTCTCTTCAGATGCTGCTTACCAGGAATCGGGTATAACAGTTGATTAGATTGAACTGTATACAAATGAGAATCAATCTTCTCAGTTTGAATGATTATTGTCAAATTCAAATGAGGATTGAGATTGGTGGTGTATCATGCTTCTCTTCAGATGCTGCTTACCGGGCTCATAACTGTCAGATTGAGTGTCACAGATGAATATGTTGAAGACATATGAATCTTATCTGTATCAAGATCTGCTTGTTCTATTATCCATGCACTATCTAATATATCTATTTCATACAAAAGATAGAGCTATTTATAGTAAAATATATGTGTGAGTCAAGAGAGCTAGCATAAGTGAGTATTAGACAAGTGTTGTAGTAAGCTGATGATGATGAGAAATATTGTAGTAATACAATGTTGATGGCGTTCAGTAGTGTATAACCTCTTTTTCCTGACAAACCGTCTCACTTAAATACTGCCAGAGCACAGTCGAGGAGACCAACCATTATCACTTTCCGAAACGACGTTCAGCCCTGTTGTAGACAGCTCTACCTGCTCTAAGTTATTTACAGAATAATTT